GGCATCGACTTGCACTACCGGAATGAAACTGGCTCGGAACGCATAACTCGAGGCGAAAGCGTCTTCACCATCGACTCCGCAGACACCTATGTTGAGGAAGAACCTACCGCGAAAGAGTGGATCAAGGACACTCTTCCCAGTGGTCACGAGCTGAGAGAGTACTGCTCCAGCTTGTTTCCGTTCCTTTCCTGGATAGGCCGATACAACGTACAGTGGTTGATCGGAGATCTTGTTGCTGGTACGTCACATCTTAACACTATCATTGTATAGCTATTAACTTCTATCAGGTATCACTGTGGGCGCTGTTGTAGTTCCTCAGGGTATGGCCTATGCGAAGCTCGCTGAGCTTCCAGTCGAATTCGGATTGTACTCTTCCTTCATGGGTGTACTCATTTACTGGTTCTTCGCTACCTCGAAGGACATTACCATCGGACCCGTTGCCGTTCTATCCACAGTCACGGGCGGTGTCGTGCTGTCTGCAGAAGAGAAGCTTGCTGGCCAAGACATCTCACGAGACATGATCGCGTCCGCCTTGGCCATCATCGCCGGATCAATCGTTCTCTTCTTGGGTCTTGTCCGCATGGGTTGGATTGTGGACCTCATCTCACTGCCTGCTATCTCGGCTTTCATGACCGGCTCTGCCCTCAGTATCGCTGCTGGGCAGTTCCCTGCCATGATGGGTATCACGGGATTCTCGACTAGGGACCCCACGTACAAAGTGGTCATCAACTCGCTGAAGTACCTTGGACGAACCGATCTCAACGCATCATTCGGCCTGACCTGTCTGTTTCTCCTATATGCGATCCGGTTTACCTGCGGTCAGCTAGCAAAACGTTTCCCCACCCGCGCCAAGCTGTTTTTCTTCATCAACACTCTGCGAACGGTGTTCGTCATTTTGCTGTATATTCTATTCAGCTACCTGGCAAACCGAGAGCACAGGGCCAACGGAACCAAGCCGATTATCAAAACCCTTGGAACTGTTCCACGAGGTAAGATGCTTCCTGAATTCGTCAAACTCATTACTTACATTTCCAGGCTTCCAACACGCGCGCGTGCCCAAGATTACGATCCCCATCATCAAGTCCTTCGCGACCGAACTCCCATCGACAGTCATCGTCCTCCTCATCGAGCACATCTCCATCGCCAAGTCTTTCGGACGTGTTAACAACTACGTTATCAACCCGTCGCAAGAACTCGTAGCCATTGGTGTTTCCAACTGTCTCGGTCCCTTCCTGGGAGCATACCCCGCGACTGGTTCTTTCTCACGTACTGCCATCAAGTCCAAGGCCGGTGTGCGCACGCCTTTTGCAGGTGTCATCACGGCCGCCGTAGTGCTACTCGCCATCTACGCACTCCCAGCTATGTTCTGGTACATTCCAAACGCAGCACTTTCGGCAGTCATCATCCACGCCGTGCTGGACTTGATTACACCACCAAACACTGTATACCAATTCTGGAGGATCTCACCACTTGAAGTCATCATCTTCTTCGTTGGTGTTCTCGTCACCGTCTTCTCCAGTATTGAGAATGGCATCTTCGTCACGGTGTCAGTTTCTGCAGGCATGTTCGCCTTCCGCCTTTTCAAGGCCAAGGGCCGCTTCATGGGTAGGGCCAAGATTCACTCCGTCATTGGCGACCATCTGCTGGACCCAACCGAAGAAGACAAGATGTCGCCGCCTGGTGTTCGGCAAAAGCCCTCGGAGGGAGAGCACTCTGTTCGTGAAGTCTTCCTACCCATCGATCACAAAGACGGATCCAACCCAAGCATTCAGCTGGAAGACCCTTACCCAGGTATCTTCATCTACCGATTCAGCGAGGGCTTCAATTACCCCAACGCAAACCACTACCTCGACCAGCTCACCGACATCATCTTCGCGAAGACGCGCCGTACGAACCAAGCGACCTACAACAGACCGGGAGACCGCCCATGGAACGACCCTGGCCCTCGCCGTGGCAAGGATACCCAAATCACCGATGACCGACCCACGCTCAAGGCTATCATCCTCGATTTCTCCTCAGTTAACAATGTCGACCTTACTTCAATCCAGAACCTGATCGACGTAAGAAACCAACTCGACAAGTACGCGGCCCCAGACACCGTCGACTGGCACTTCTGCAACATCAACAACCGCTGGACCAAGCGCTCGCTCGCCGCCGCCGGCTTCGGCTACTACACTCCTGAAATGCCCGATAGCGGCATCACCCACCGCTGGAAACCGATTTTCAGCGTCGCCGAAATCGGCGGCTCCGACTCTGCTGCCGCGGAGGCAGAAGCACGCGAGAACCTCCTCGCACAACGCACACTATCGCAAGTACGAAGTCGCGACATTGAGGCTGCGCATCCCGACTCCGGCGATAGCTCCGAGACGGGTAGCATCACCAAGCAGCTGGAGCACAGCAAGGCGTATGGACACGCCGATGCGCAGGATGCTAGGCATAGGGGTAGGATAGCGGTTGTTCAAGGGCTGAACAGGCCGCTGTTCCATGTGGATGTTACGGCTGCGCTTAACAGTGCGTTGGCTAATGCGCAGAGGAAGAGTCACTAAGCAGCGTGTTGTGGCCTTTGCGTTGTGGTAATAAGGACTCGTTTTTCTTTCAGTACATACTATGTAGAGATGATATCTATTTGCGCTCGGCTGTTTGCCTTGAGTGTTGCTTTCTCTGTTCAAAGACTAGTCTTACGATCTGCATGTGTGATGACGTGAGTGTGCGATGTCGGTCTTGCTGGTCGCTGACGTGAGATGGTTCGTTAGGCGGCCACTCCTTCCTTTCTAGATTGATCGCAATGACAAAGGTGGGATCTGGTCGGTCGTGGTGTCTTTGATGATTGTTTTCATTCTATTTAGTCCATTTTCGTGCTTCTGCTCCTGATTTCGTACGCGTGGGTATATGTACCGCGTCATGCCCCAAACACAAAACATCAACGCCATGCTATGCTCTGTCCAGAACCATTTTTGCCTCGCCCCCACACAGTGAAAGAAAAGTTCCGCTCCTCGTGATGACAGCCAGATGCTGCCCCCAAGATGTCTGCGCCTGCTCGAAAGTCCCGCTCTCTTTGTGCAGACGTCGATGTTTCTCCAAAAGATGTGCTGCCTGGGTTGTGATGTTGTAAAGGTAGTAGCAACACTGGATCCCTGCTCTTCCTTGTTCCATGCCTGATGTCGTACAAACAACATCGAGATCTTTTTCCTCCCATGTACTGCGAAACTTCGTCTTTGTAAGCTCGCAAACGAGCAACGTCTAGTTGTACGCTTCAGCTGGCAGAGACTCGCGGCTCTGTGCGAAGAGAGCACCAGCTTGCTCGATATTCCACTGTCCAGCCTCCAAACACTGAATAGCGTAGTCGCGCTTAAGGTTGGTTTCGCGCTGAACGTAGAGAATCATCTCTTCTTTCCTCTGCTGCTCCGGGTCGACGATTGCAGGTGCAGGTGTTGGTGTGGTAGCAGCCGGTATTTGCTGCGCGTTTGCTGCGTTGTTGTTTGCCGCCGCGTCAGGACGAACTTGATTGCCATTCAAGATTTTGAGTTTGGGGAACCACGAGACGATTTCGTCTTGCCAGTTCGGGTTGGGAAACGGGTCGACGATGAGGTGTTCGACGTTTCTGAAGCGGCCTTTCCATGGTTTTAAGGCGTCCAGCGTCGCGAAAGCGTTGTTGCTTAGATCCAGGTTTTGGATGTGGCGGAAGTGGTTGCAGAGTTGGTAGACGGCGTGTGTGTTTTGGAGGTTGTTGCCCGCAAGTGTGACGCTGTGGATTGCTGCTTCTTTCGCTTCTTGCGTTTCGAGAATGGCGTCGCAAACAATCATGAGGGCGGGAAAGAACTTCTTCTGTGCGCCTTCCGATGCGAACATGCCGGATTGGAGAATTTCTTGGTCGCCGGCAATAGTTGATAAGTTCAAAAGCTTGTTGGTTGCATCGTAGCGTCGTCCCAGGAAGCCTTCCATCAGCGGATATGATGGATTTGCCTTAAGTCTTTCCAGGGTTTCTTTGTCGATCGCCGGCTCTCGTGAGCGATTGTCTGTGCGGTTGTCGTGCTGGAAGTGGTTTTGGCCTCCCCTGAATCCTCGTCCCCGTCCTCGTCCCCTGCCTCGTCCACGTGAGGACTCGCCATCGACCATCATCTGATCGTCGTCATGGTTTTGTGGTGTGAATGAGACGCTCCAGTTCCCGCGCCCTCGGCCGCGACCACGTCCTCGCCCACCTCTTGGTTGATCGTTCATGTTCATTGGAGTATGTTGGTTGTGTGTTAGAAGTGGAAGAGATCTATCAAGCAAGAATGAGCAGATGGGATTGTCTATAAGGTCGGAAGGTCTGTGCGTCGCCAAGCCACAGTTTTCCAGTTCGTCCAATTGTCATTGGCCAAAACCCATGGAACCTTCGACGTCGACCAAGTTCACTGCTATTGTGTTCTTGCTCTCACCTATTGTTTCATGCTCTTTAGTCATGCCCGCCTATTGAAAATCGTGCTTTGAGTGCAAACAATACGGTTCTCTTGTGCTGACTCCTCGGGTTGTAATCAGGCTGCAGGCAGTCACATTGATGACAGCCCGAGGAAATTGACGCGATCAAGGCTCGGTGCCTCTTCATCGGCTAGCAAAGCCATCCGCGACGCTCTCTCCTGTCAACCCGGACTGTGATTTCAGGGCCTCTGAGGCTCTGGTTGCACAATGCGCTCCATACCTACTAAAAGACCAAGTTTTGAAACCCAGAAATAACGATGAATTTGGATACAGGAAAGCAAAACACATCATCTAGTAGTCGACTGAGACCGACAGTAAAGTAAGTGTGCGTTTCGTAGATTTTCGATCTAAATGATACAAGCCTTGTTCAGAGGAAAATCTCTAAGTCCTGAAATCTCTCCATACCTCCCACCACCTACACCACTCTTCCAGACTTGTAGCATAAGTCTAGTCTTTCCGTTGATGTCCCGTGACGCCAAAAACTCCACACATGAACGCGCGTAAATGCAACAATGAGACGACCTTCAGGCAACAATCGTCATCTAGTTTGAGTGGATCTTCTTGATCCTGTTGACACCCTCGTACAACGCGCGGTCCACAGCCGCAGCGACGGTAAGAGTACCACCGATCACGGCGCAGAGACCAACGAGGAAGCCAGAGAAGGACTTTTCACGGGCTTCGCGGTTGATGACCTTCATGGGTGAAATGTCCTATTGCAGCCATTAGTAACCATATCAAGCAACAAGGAGTTGGTACTTGGGAACTTACATAAGAAAAGAAAACACCGGGGATACCACCTCGAGCGTGAATCCTCTCCTTGTGGCCCTCCTTCTCATCAGAACCACCCTGCAGACTCCTATGATGGCTGGTCACAGAGTACTGGTGCGTCTCAATGCTGCCCTTGTATGAAGCGTCAATGGTCGCGCCAAGGAGCTCATCATGTTTTGCGGAACGAGGAAGCTGGTTCTCCCAGCCGAGTGGCAAGTAAGCGGTCGACACGACCTTGATGAAGTACATGAAGTTGTAGGCCTTTTCGTCGGTATGTTGCTCGGTGTTGTCAAGGGGGTTGATGTGGTGGTTTGACCATCCACCAGCGCCAGAGCCTGCGTGCTTCCTCTGCATGTCTTGGACAACGACATCGCTAAGCTGGGGGCCGAAGCGAAGCTGGTGAACCTTGTGGGTGAAGGTATGCGCGTACTCGTCTTTGAAGTAGTTCTCGAGATCGTGAACGTGTAGGTTACCGTTCGAGAACGATTTTCCAGGCGCGATGTGAAAGTTACCGACAACCTTGTTGACTCGGATGCTGCCCTCAAGACGGCATCCTTCCTGACGTTGTTGGTCGAGATGTTCGGCGTAGTGTTCCCGCTCGCATTGTTCGACTCCCTCTCCACGACCGAAAGACCAAGATATCGAGGCGTATGCGTCGCGGACTTCGTCGCAGGTATTGCAGCAGCCGGGCTTGATTGCGTTGGTGGGGGCAGGTGCGCCGTAACATTCGCCGCAGTAGTCGGGAGCAAGATGTGACGCTTCATCCGCGTGCCTGAAACCGTCGTTAGCACTCTGTTGCTTCCCGTATATGCCTGCGCCCTACAGCGGCTCCATGTAGACTTACAGATCCAAAGCCTTGATATCAATAACCTTGCTGCCCTCCTTCTCAGGACTCAATCGCACCTTGTTGATGCCATGCGTGACACCCATCTGCAACTCTCCAGAGACATCCATGACATCGAGTGTGAGCAGCTCGCATGGTACCCGTGGGAACGTTACGTTCAGGGCAATTTCCATGCGTTCGCCTCTGCCCTTATCAACCACCAATTCTGGTCGCACAGTCACTCTCCTGTAGTCGGCCCACTCGCCCCACGTTAACCAGAAGATAACCAACAAGCTGACTATGGTGACGATTCCACCGGATGTTGTGCGCACGCGCGCATCTTCGACCGTCTTGGTGAAGGCGTCGAGCCTCGTGAATCGCGATTTGGCGGGCATAACGGCGGGTTACCGCTGCAGGGTAGGCGTGGTTGTAGGAAGTTGGTGTGAAGCCTTGAAGTAGAAGGCAATTGGGGTCGAGACCAGTGGGGTTGAGGGTGCAGCCGAACGTTGTCTCGAGACGTGGTCGTAGCTCGCGTCTTGAACAAGGACCGAGTTGACTTGAACTGCAAACGCAATTGGCGCTGCTTCTTGAAAGAGGTGAAAGCGAAGGAATGAATATCAGCACTGTCCGTGCAAAAGCCGCAGTATCATCGTACAGAGAAGAGAACTGGCAAGCAAGTCAACGCGTGGACGCGGCAACGTTTCGGCTGGACTAAAGGACAGCTATGCGACTGAACACTAGCTCCGAGCGCCGCACCACGCTAGCGTGCTTCGGGTAGGTGCGCATACCGAGCACGTGGAGCTGCAGCCCTGGAGTGGTTCACCAATACCAGGCACCGTTTAGTAAAAGGGGGAATTGAGAGTTGCAGTCAAGTTGTACACAGAATTGAAGTAATTTCATTAGGTCTTAGAGGCATGCAGGATGCTCCATCATACCGCTATTCAAAGGTAACCAGATTGGCGTTATGCCATCTGAGGGGCTTATTATAAATAGCCTAAGAAGCGAGAACGTTCCTGAGCATGCTGTTGAAACCATCACTGAGCTTGTATAGCTCCACGATAGGTGGCTTCTTCGGTTCGCCTGCCTTTCTCCGAAGCTTCTCAGCAGCGCGCGCTCGGCTCTTGCGCTCAGCTTCAATTGGATCTGCGATATCTGTATCGTCCATGTCTTCCGAGTCGGTGGAGTCGCTACCATCATCGTCGAGTTCAAGATCCTGGAGATCCATCTGTATCTCGTTAGTGTATGGCCCAACATGTTGTCAGAGAGGAAAACGAACCGCGTTCAGCCCAAAGTCGCTCGACTTGAAGCCGGCGATACCACCCATAAGCGGATCAGGGTCATCACCACCGCTCGCCATCTTTTGCCTTGTCTTGTCCGAATGCCACTTCTTCCTCGCCATCTGCCACTTGATCAGGCTGTTGATCTCACGAATGGCCTTGTTCTTGTCGATCATATTTGAATCGATTCCACCCTGGAAGAGCGCATTCATATCAAGCTTACCGCCACTTCCAGGGCCGTGACGCAGGAAGTCCAAGATACCCTCTAGCCATCCCATGAGCTGGTCGAAGAGACCGTTGTCATGCTTGTGCACCTCGTGAACGAACTTGTAGAAGTTATCCTCGTGGCGGGCGCACAGATCTATGAAGGCCTGCACGGTTTGATTGGGGTCTGCAGAAATTTCTTGCCGTTGACAAGCTTCGATGGTTTTGATCGTGTCATCGGCGAACATGGCGAAGTCGGTAATACTGTTGTAAACGTTTGCGGATTTGTATACACGGACAAGAGGTTCGTAGAAGATGGTGAACAAATCACGGAAGAGCTGCAGCGTGGTCGGCTAGAAGTACGTCAGTCATTCATCTCTGAAATCGCCTTTCCGTCAAACTTACTTCTTCGATGATCTGGAGCATCATGAGCTTATCCCTCTGTCTGAGACACAACTTCAAGTATTGCTTGAGGTGCGCGAAAAGCTCAGCGCCAGATCGCATCTCCTTCTCGACCTGACCGGTCGCGTTAGTAGCTGTGCTGACGGTGCTGCGGGTGCTAGCTCTTCTGCTGAGGCGGCTCGATCTCACATTTTCGACCGCGTTGTTCCATGCAACGTAGGCATTGAAAACCTTCTCCACTTGTTGCGAAGACAATTCTGGTTGGAAGAACTCGGAGCGCAGTATGGTCACGACGACATCGACGTTGTCGCGCGCAGCTTCTTGTCGAATCGCTTCCTTGACACCTTCATCCGCTTGTACGTATGCTTTGATCTTGTCGCAAAGAACATCATCCTTGATCCTCGTGGAACCAAGTGTGTCGATCGTCTTCTGTACAGAGTTGACACCGTCGTTGATGGCCATACCAAATATACGCTGAAGTAATGAACGAGCGCCGAACGGCTGTGCAAGGAACAGATCCAGAACCCCACTCATGACGGCTGCAGGGTTGGCTATCCTAATGACGTTCTTGAGGACACCGTAAGGAACGAGAGAATGTATGCGTTTCGCCTGTGCAAACAGCTCGGGGGAATTGTCTTCGGCTAGGAACAAATGGTAGATGGTAGCAGCCACTTCTATCCGTAACCACTCTGCGAACTTTTGGTACTCTGGCTTCAGGTCTCGGATGGTGTTCTTGACTCTGACCTCTTGGAACAGGTGTGAGAGTCCATTGCTCTCTACAATTTCTCTCCTGAACTTCTCCATGTGGATGTCAAGCTCCGCTGCTCGCTTCCGCGCGACTTCGTAGAACTGCTTTTGTTCCTCGATGCGCTTCTTGTCCATCTCTTCTCGCCTCTGGATGTCTTCCATTTCTTCCTCATTGACCTCAATGGGATCGTGTGTCAGGAATTCAGCCATGGCACTTGACTGGGCGATTCGCTCGTTGTGTAGGAATGATCGGAGGAATGCGCGAAGAGAAACACGTTGTTCTTCCCTGTACAGCTTACGAGGAGCTTTGTACGCTGAAAAGTCCGCTGAGGCTCTCGGCGAACGTCTTCCTAGTGATGTCTGTGAGGCGTTCTTCTTATGTCCGCCCCAGAGATAGCTACGCAAACCACCGCCACTGCTCTCAACAGGTTCAGGAGGGGGAGGTCCTTGGGTAGATCCTGACGAGATAGAGCTAATATCGTCGTCATCAGCACTTGATTGTAGGAGGCCATCTTTCGCATTCTTTCGAGGTAATGGAGCGAGCACTTTGCCGGGAAGTTCGAGACGTATGCGTTTGTGCAATTGAACGAAGTCTGCGTATCGGCGGCCAATGTAGAAGTCCTTGTCTCCGTCGTGCTTTACACGTATGAGGTACTCCTGCAAACGCATAATTAGGTTCTGTCTTCGGGCAAATTGTATGCCTACTTACCGCATGCGTGTGGTAGCGGAGATGTCTCTTCACCGATGTTGTTCTGACGCCTGCGACATTGACGTCCCAACCATTGATAGCGTGTCCGCTCGGCTCATTCATCGTAAGACCCTTTTCATCTGCCTGTCGGTCTACAATCTCCATCTCGGCAAAGCGTATTCTTTCTTCGTAGCCTGACGCGGTGGGAATACCAGAGACCATCATCAGCTCGACCAGCTTCTCGGCCTTGAGCGCTAGCTTTCTCCTCTTCGTTTCCTCCAGGCGGTCTTCTGAGGATGAGATGTCCTTGCTCGCGAATGACTCCAGGAACTAGAATGGCACCTTTGTCAGTTCCTTCTCTACCCGGTATGACCTCATACAACGTACGACTTGTAGCTTATCCTGCCAGAACTCCTTCTCTTTGGCCTTGTCCAGGAAGGGAAAGTTCCGAACATGATTGACGAATATGTAGCGGAGGAGGGGCAGCTCTGAGTCTTCCGGCGCAACTTCGCCGGCATCTGAACGAAAGGGTGCGCCAAAGCGTCGCAGCGCTGTAGGAGAGGAGAGTTCGGCGATTTCGTACTTTGTTTGCTGGGAGATGAGTTCGCGCTTGAGGTCTGCGCCTTCGTTAGCTTTGCCACAGGGTATGGATGATGTTGTACGGCTTACAGTGCTCTTGTTTGCCTGTCAATATGGAGCCCTCTGGGGGCACCGACATAGTCGAGAATTTGGAGTAGGACGTGTCATTGCGCTGGGGCACTGCCGGCCGCGCGGGCTCGCCAAAGTTCTGTACTGAGGGCTGAGGATTCATCGTGGTGGGCTCTGTGGCACCGTTGAGCTGGATGGCAGGCGGGGTGTCGAGGTTGGCGGGCATAGTTGGATTAATAGCAGCGTTAACGCGCGGGCTAGGGAGCCGCGATCCGAAAGAAGGGAGATAAGGAGAAGGAATAGCGAAAAGCAGACTTTGGGGTCCCTGCAGATGACCGTCGACGCGTGTTGTATGACGCCTGACTAGCACCACGGAGTACCTGTGGCTGCAACTGAGGCTGGTGCACTGCGGAGATGCGGGCACGGCACCAAGGACAAGAGATACGATGGGTCTGCACCGCCCGTTCTTGCTCAAAGTGGATCAATTCAATGCTTGTCGGCACTGAAGCAGAGTCGGGCGCGTAAAGGATTGTGGCTGAGTGACGCAACCCGATGTCTTAGCTCATCTGACGTATGGAGCGCAGAGGCCCACGAGGCCAAACAAAGGAAGGAACGGCATCCTATGTCTTGGCCATGTTCGCCCGTCGTTTCCCATCTCGTCTGCACAATACGCGTCGCGTATCCTGGGAATGAATACGAGGCGTTCTGGTTGAACTGACAAGAGTACCCCTCCTCGGAACGGTGCCTAAGACTCGGAAGTACCTGAAATCGGACCGCATTCGGCTCGCTTCTGCTCTCGAAGATCGCACTCGCACATCGCCAGGTCATGCATGGCTGACTGACTCCCCTTGGCGCAGCCTGTCACTCATATCTAGCAAGGAAATCTGACATCGAACACGTTCTGGCCACGGGCCAAGATATCTGATTGACTAACTAGCACAACACCACGCCGGGTACTATCGTGTGCGAACATTTAAGGTTTTCAGTTGCAATTTGACTAAGGTTGATATCTACTCAATTGTACTCGTACAAGCCCGATGGGTAAATAAATCAAAATGCCAGTCTATGGCGATAATTAGCCCAGGACGCCGGCCTGTTCTGTTCCCAAATTGCTGCCAAGGCCTTTCCTGGCATTTCGGCAGAAGAATTCAAGTTACCCACGCTAACGCCAGCCCACTTCACATCTTACATGATAACCTCCAATGCACTCGGAGGTCCGAGGCTCAGTAGTTGAGCTCGCCACTGCCACCACCACCAACTGCATCCAAGTCTTCGTAGCTCTTGATTGATCGGCCTTGCACAGACTGTACAGGTCCAGGTCCACCCTCACCGTATCGCTGAGGGCCTTGACGGCTACCACGAGGCGGAGGGGTCAATCGGCCGCCGTTGACAGCGGGACGAGCACGGCCGTCACGAGGTTGACGATCGTAAGGTCCAGTACGGTTGTTGAAGCGGTGGCCGCCTCGTCGCATAGGTCCGGCACGGTCATCGTGGGCAGCATTGGGGTCCCAGTTACCGCCCATAGCAGGATTGAACAGAGCGCCCAAATGCACGCCGTTCTGCATACCGTTGTTTGCCATTGCCATGTTCATGTTGGCCAAGTTAAACCCCCGCGGCGTTCCAGTGGCCTGGACATGATTGCCCATCGGGAAGTGGCCATTACTGTTGGCATCACTACGGGATGGAGCAATATGCGCAGGGTCGACAACATAGCTGTTGACCAGTCGCAGCTGTTTCGCATTAGCAAACGTATCCTTACAAACATTCCTGTGAACACTTACGTCCTTGTGTAATTTCTCAAGCCATTCAGGATGACGCTTTTCAGTATGCTTCCGCCAGAAATGCTGGCCTTTGAACAACTTTGTGCATTCCGGAACCTTGCAACGCCACTTGGATTCATCCTCCTGCTTGACATAACGCGAGAGTTCATCCTCGATAGCTTCGTCGAGAGGCTTGCCGCCGAGCTTGCGGATATCAACATTCTCCGGCTCAAGTAGCTGTAGCAGTTTTTCCTCATACGTCTTCACCCAGTTGAATGCTCGTTGAAGTTGTTGTTGGTTCTTGGTACTCAACCGCATCGGCTTCTTCTCTTGCACAGGACTACCGCCCTCGCCATTCTCTGCGTCACCTGAAGACTCTTGCTTCCTGTAAGGAAAGAGGTCTCCAGTAGCCGTAGCTCTCGCGGTAGCCTTGGCCGCAGTTGTAAGACTAGCGCGCGGTCGGCGAAGATGTCCTCCCGCGCACTTGCGAATCAACTCGTGGACCGAGTCGCTCTCAAAGACGCAGAAGAAGCAGAAGTTGTAGACACGTCGGAGATACTCGATGAGGAGATCAAGCTTCTTCTTCTTGGCCAGCAACTCTTCATCATCCACTTCATCATCGAAAGCACCCTCGTCGTCTTCCATGGTTTCATCTTCACCCTCCTCCAGGTCTTCTGGATCCCGCGCTTTCTTGGTCGGCACTGGGGCATTGGCTGGGGGCTGAAGCCAGCCTTTCGAGCGCAGAGCCTCGACACGTTCTTCGATCTTACTGACACCGTCGACGTTTGAGAACTCTTCTTCGTGTTGCGCCTTGAGGTCGGAGTCGAGCTTCCTCACGAGTCGTTCAGCAAGCTCTAGATCACGTTCGATTCTCTCAGGCGCAGAGAAGAGGTCCCAAAGTGCCTTCTTGCGAGGAGCGGCAGGAGGTTCATGAATGCCGACGTGGCAGGTGAAATTGCCACGCTCTTCATCGATGACGGTCTTGCCGTTGAGAGCTTCGAGAGCCTTGTGAGCGGTAGACTGTGGGCCTTGGGCAGCTTCAGGCTTATCATCAACAGCCCCTTCTTCGGCATCATCATCGCGTCCATCACCACGGTCGTCGATGACCATTGGCTGCTCATCGTTTGGATTGAGAATGACCCAACCGATGCGGTGGCACTTCTTTAGTGGGTTAGGGTCGCTCATGCTGAGCCACTTGAAGCCGCCAGGGCCTTCTCCCAAGTGCTCCTTGCAGAACTCCTCGACCTTTTCGCGGTTGACCGTGGGCGCAATAGTCTTGATGAGTAGCGTAGGCTGGAACGCAGTCTCATCGCGGATCTCGCCGCCTTTGCAAGGCAACAGATCGCCCACGCCCAGCACCTCGTTGGCAGCCGTTGTCTCGCCTTCCTCCTTTTCCACGATTCCTCCAGCACCGTTCGAATCGTTCTTGTAGATGCCTTCGAGCGTGAATTCATCGAAGTACCCCTCGTCTATTTGTCTCTCCCACTCCTCGTAGATGCCATGGCGATATTGACGGAGCTTCTCCTTGAAGGCCAAGTCATAGTCTGGGTCGTAGCGCTCCTTGAACCACTCTTCGTTCTTATGCTTGTCTACAAACGTCTTCGCCATCTGGACTTGTAGCTTCTCCTTGTACTCGTCATACGCGGCCTGAATCTGTTCGCGCTCCTTGCCCCGTTCCTCTCGAGCCTCGCGCTCGCCTTTGAGACCTGGTTTGCGTCCGCCATTCTTTGCGCGCTCCTTCTCCTCCTTCATGAGCTGCTCCACACGCCACCACTCTGCAAAGTAGTTGAACCCGACCTGGTATTCGAGGTGCATGGGGTTCGGGACCGGGTTTGTGGTGAAGGTCGGCGCGAAGTTGTCCTGACCAGGCACGTACCGATCGATGCCTGCCTGCACGGGCGGAGGCGAGGAGCGTCGTCTGTTGCCATCTCGGCGGGGGCCGTCGTAGTCGCGCGCGCGATCAGGTTGGTATCGGTCGATGTTCTGGGGCGAGCGCGATCGGCGCCTGCCTGCCCTACGGTCTCCGGAGCCTTTGTGACGCATGTTAGCCCAGTCTGATGTTTCAGAAGCGATTCAAGATGAGGTTTAGAAATGATGCCGGTCATGTCCAGGAGTCATACAGCAACGCCCAAGTACGCGCAATCGGTCTGTGCTAACAGCGCTTGGCGAGAGAGGCCCGGAGCAAACACGCCGCATAGTTTCGCGTGACGGTGAAAATGAAATTCCGTCACGTCTCAAAAAGGACATCTGGCTTACCTGGTGAACGGCGTCTGTACGAATCCGCGGGCGGCCTGGAGTCCTCACGCGTGGCACTGCGAGCCGTCAGCATCGTACTTTGCGCACAGTCTTCTGCACCAACATACGTGTATGAGTCCATCGCTGCGGTATGCACGCGTGATAATATGGTGAATGGTTATGAATATGTGGCGCGAAATCGAGACAGGCAGTCGTGTTTAGGCGGCTCGGAGTGAGTGTAGTGCAGCGGGCCTGAGGGCAGCGCGCGTAGTCTTCGGTTGCTTTGACGCGCAATCTCGCCGGGAGTATGCGCTGGGTGGGAGTGGATGCTCGAGAGGCAATCGACGCGGGTAGCTGTTTGCCATGATGGCTCGGTCAGAGAGGGAACAAGTCAGGGACAAGGTGACGGAGAGGGAATGCGATTAGTAACGAGGAAGAAGAGGCAGGTAAGAAGTGACAAGAAGCCGACACGCCTGGTGCGATTGAGAACACACGGGCGGCGCCGCAGGAAGATGAGGTCAGAGAGGCAGCTGGAGGGAGGCTGGGCGCAGGCCACGGGGAGAAAGCTATCCGAGCTATCGAGACAGCTGTACAAGAGGAAGAAGGGGTACGAACAATGGGACAGCTGAAGGACGAGAAGGTGCACTCACGATGTGCTAAAGTGACTCCCGGGCAGAACGATGCCGGTGGAGAGGGCGATGGCAGAGAGAAGGGTGAGGTAAGTCGCGGAGGGCTGGAGAGACCCGAACGACGGCTGAGACGGGGCTAGCGTTCCACGCGGAAAGTGGACCCGGCCTTCCACGCGTTGGCCGAGGCTGTGATTGGCGCTCCGAAAATATCACGAGATGCGGAGTGCAGGTACAGGACGCTTCCTCTTCTGGCGACGTCTTCTGTTGCGTATGTGACATTGATCGACGGTTACACACAAACCTCATCACACCAACCGCCATCATGACGAGCTACATCCCGTCCCTCACGCTTCCCAGCTTCGCTTTCGAGAACCCTGCAGTGGCTATCCTGCTACCTGTTCTGTGTGGAACAGCCACAGGATTTGCCATCAGCCGTAAGTCAGTGGTAGATTCGTACCGGAATGGTTTTCTGATTCCAAAACAGCAAGTGTATCTCAGACAGCATACCGAACGCTAAAGCAACCTCCACTGCATCCTCCCGGTTATGTATTCGGACCAGTCTGGACAGCACTCTATGCCACCATGGGCTACACAGCCTATCGCGCGTACACCATTGGAGCGACGTCTGCTAACCCCAATACTGTTGCTCTGGCGAAGGTATGAGAATGCTGTGCGCGATCTGCTATTATCCGAGCTAACCCGGTGCAGCACGGAGCCACTCTCTATACTATCCAGCTGGCCCTGAACCTGATATGGACTCCTCTCTACTTTGGTCTCGGTCGTCCCATTCCCGCTTCAGTTGACATTCTTGCTCTTGGTGGAACTCTTGCCTACCTCATCAACATCTGGGGACAAGTGGACCCAGTTTGCGGATGGCTGCTCGCGCCCTACCTAGGTTGGGTCAGCTTCGCAACATACCTCTGCGTAAGTACCATCCCCATTCGACGTGCGTGAATTGCCAAAGACTGATGCTGCAAACAGATTGGATCAGGTTATCTGAACAACTGGGACTTCAGGGCCATCTCGAAGAAAAATTAAGATATTCGTCCGTATCGACTAAGTGTCCAGGAAAGGTTATATCTCCACATCGCTTGACAGTGTAACATAGATTCCCTTACGGGAACTAGGTATACACATGTACTATCATGTTGTCCAATAGATGTACATTACAATTCCTGGAGATACTGGTGCGCCCCGGCCCTCCCTCCTCCTTGACACTAACGTAATAAACTATTGTCATCATCTTTGGCAAAGACGTTTCATCGAGACCGGGGCCTCTCGGTTTCTTTATCATGATTCAGCCATTGCAGATCTACTTTGCAAGTAATACAAAGTCTGCGCGAACTTAGCAAGCTTGCTATAGAGTGAGCCGGTCGAAGTGGTGGAGCACACAGAACTGGTCTGTAACGGAGAAAGAGACACAGGAAATATGAGCGAGAGAACTCGAGCATGCGAAACAAACGTCTGACAGGAAAGTGGTTGTACAAGATTTAAGCACTACACCAAGTCGTGACGTTTTACTCATACATTCCGGGTTGCGGAGGCCTATACGTCTGTGCACTTCTTCTGATTCATTCTTCATTATCGCCTCATACTACGACTGCCTGATCCGTACCCTCTGGTTCTGGCTTTTAGGTTTCCAATCTCGCTCAATCCAGAGCCCTTCGACGGTCTCGACTACTCAACTTTAATATTGTAATACTATGTTACAAATCCAGTCGACACAACAACCACTCGAACGAATGGAGCAGGACAACGATGGCCCAGAAGTTACCGCTGTACTCGCTGCCCTGTAGGTCATATCTCTTCTAGTATGGACTTCAGCCAACAGCTTCTAACAGCACTCTTCAGAATCAAAAGCAATGCGTCCTTCTCCGCCTTCCCCCAGAGCTTCGAAACGCAGTCTATCGGTACGTCTTTCAAGAAGACGACATAGAGATTTGCGCCCCAATTGGCGAGAATACCAGCAATGATGGTCACACACATTATCCTAGACAGAACCTACAGCTACTTGGGACTTGCCGTCAAATCTATACCGAGGCCAGGCTACTTCCTTTCGCCTCGAATACATTCAAGGGTGGTCATTGGGCACTGCGAAGCATTACAAGGCTTCTCAGTTGGGATCAAGCCGATGCCATATCAACTATAGATATTGTGGTCGATGACTATCACTTCAGTTACACCACGGATGTATCGGAACCGGGACACTCATTCGAGAATTTATACGCGCCCGTCCGTTTGGTTTTACATAATACTTTGTTATCGACGTTAGAGAGGCTTGCAAGGCTACCGGAGCTGAAACAGATTCTTCTCTCTCCCTCGCAATACGAGGACAACCCCTGGAAGCAGATCTGGAAATTCGGTTGGGCGGAGGATTGCAGACTGTTGGTAGTAGACGCATTGCGACAGCAGAGAACTCGCCGCAAAGAGATAAAAACTCGTTCGCTGGTTGAACAGTAACAGTATTGGATTTGGGTATCTATATTGTGGCATCGAGACAGCTGATAGGCCAGAGTAAGGTGATGGGCCGTTTGTACTGTGATTTCATGTCACCTCACCGACCCTAGCGGCAGTCCGGCTTCGCGTTTTGGTTACATCTAGAATCCATGATCTGGTGAAAACTTGTTTAATTCTAAATTCAATCTTTGCTGAGCGTCCATTACGTGAGGACAATGAATAATGAAGCAACCCAGTTGTCGCATATATTAATGCCAATGATATCGGGGGGTCGCACCTAATATGTACCAAATCAGGTGCTACCCGTGAAGCCGTGCATATCCGAGGCCTCTGGAGGACTGTATCGTGGCCAGCGAGTAGTCGCTTTCGGCGTCTTGCTCCGAGTACGTAGAGTAAATGTACTCAACTGCAATACGAGCTCTTGTGGAACACGGGAAAAAGTTTCTGGGTTGTATTATCCTGTCATGACGCTTTTGGGAGTGAGTTGCACCTTTCAGATTGTGAGCGTGGCAGCAGTCAAAGATATATCTTTTGGCGACGATGGAGTATGTCCTAGCACATCGACACATCTAAACACTCTACGTATACTCAGCGAAACGTTTGTTCGAGAATGCTCATTACGCAAGCACGTCATCTGGCCCTCACTTTCTCGCAATGGCTCGCGCCTTCCCTACACACCGTCCTTCTTGTTTACCGCCCCACTTTACTAGCACATGCTCAAAAGTGATTACGCAGCCTTCTTGATCTTATCATCGGCACTCATAGCTCTCAGGGCTTTGTATTCGCCATGTACTCGCTCACCGAGGCTATGCCTGTTCCCGAACGTGTACTCTACTACGATCGCAGTGTTCTGCTCATGGAGCGTCTCGCAGCAATGTGAGTACTGGATATCGCATTCGTTGTACTGCTAACTAACGAAGACACAGCTCACAGCGCAATCACCGAAAGTCACCCCTCCTTCGTCTACCAGCAGAACTCCGCAACAAAATCTACAAATACGCTTTCCTCTCCCATCCAGTCCGCCCAACCCGTGAGCACAGAGAGTGGCCACACTGGGCATATCCAAGATCACAATTGAATCTACTGGAGACCTGCCGCCAGATCTACTTCGAAGCCAACCTCTTCCCGTTCGCCCTCAACGTTTTCGTCGGCTACGCAGAGCATGTCATCGAGCTGTTGTTGACGACTTTCACTCCTTCCCAAACCGACATCATATCCGATGTACGGCTGTATGTCGACGCCTTCGGGGTGTACAGGGACGGCAAGATTCCAGAGGCCGGACTCAAGGCATGGTTCATTGAGGAACTGGGTGACCTGTGTCATCTTGTCAGTCTGAAAGACGTAACACTGATTTGGTTTGGTAGTGACATTGAGGTTGTCAAGGAGCACTTGAATGCGACAGTGCTGGACGTCTTCAAGGAGGCGGGTCGAGGAGATATCAAGGTCGCGGTCCGGTACTTCGATTGAGGTGTGGCGTGTCTGAGTGCTTGTCATATTTAGCTTCCACTGTATTACTTGTCGGAAATGAAACTCTTGTCGTCTATTAATGTTAAGGCCTCACAAAGGAGGTACATTGCCCCAAACTGTACCAGCGAGATCGCACTTTGAAGGTGTGCGCAATGCTTGACACTATCGTAGAGCAATTGGGTCGTATGCCTTCCAAGGTTCTGGTGTGGTCTAGCTGGACGGTGAAGAACATGATCGTTGAACATGCCGCTGTGACTGCATTACTTCAAAGAACTTTTCCTTGGGACGTAAGGAGAAGATGTTCAACTAAAACTAGGCGTACGAACACCGAAAGACTGTGGCGTCAGTTCCCTCCAGGGTGCGGGCGCAAACAGCCAGCACGTGACGTGGACCCTGCCAAGAGCTGCTGCAGCCTAACCGCTTGTATTATTCTTTGTTGCCCCACGCTCTGCTTTGGCAAAACCTCACCAACAACCGCCCGCCGAACGCCGAACCTCAAATCTCGCTGCAGTGGAAGGGGTGCGCATTACTAACAAGTGAAAGTGACAGATTTCCTGACCCGCCAGTGCTAACATGGCGCCGCTCGGTCCGCCTCCGTACACGGCCGAACAGCTCCAAGCGATAACCTCACAGGAGGAACGTATTCGCGCCCAGGCAGAGCTCACCAGTATGTGAAAGCCGAGTCGCAAGGTCAGAAAGATACTTACGATCTAATTCTAGGCTACATTACGCGCGCCAGGAGAGAGAAGCAAGAGAGGGAAGAGCGCGAGAGGCTTCAGTCGAACGCTTATTCTGGCTCTGGTTACCGCACCACCTCCGGCAGCTTCAACCATTACACTCCTCCCTCCATTCCTTCCTACGCCCCCGTCCATAACCCCGTCTTCAATCCTGTCTACACCCCCGTCTCTAATACTTCCTACAACCCTCCGTACAACAAGTTCAACCAGCGCGGTGGCTATGGTAGAGGCAGAGGCCGTGGCGCCCTGGGCAGAGGCAGAGGCTACACACCCTACCACCCCTACGCGCGTCCTCCCAATGCACCTATGTACACTGGATTCGCTACTGATTCCAATGGCACAAGTATTGTCACCCAACCACGCGAGGCCAAAGAGAACGAGGATCCAGCGCAGGCACCGGCGGCCAGCACCAGGTCCTCATCCAGAGATTACCAGCCGACCGAACCATCAAGACTTTGTGCCAACTTCACACATACAGGTATTTCGACGAAACGACATTTCGGAACCTTTCCTCACCCATTGTTCGCCTCTAACTTTTGTCTAGGTCGGTGTTCCATCCCGGGTTGTCCTTTTGGTCATGATCCGGACACACAAACCGTATGCAAGTCGTTTCTCTTCAAAGGTGTTTGCTCCGACAGCAACTGTCAACTGTCCCATACTGCATCGCCGCACAACACGCCTACGTGCCAGCATTTCCAGGCAGGCCGATGCACCAAAGAAGATTGCCGCTTTGCTCATGTTCGTGTCAATCCATCTGCACCGAACTGCGAAGCTTTTGGCCGCTTGGGCTACTGCCAGAAAGGAGACACCTGTGCCGAGTTGCATGCATATGAGTGTCCCACCTTCGCCAACACGGGAGAGTGTTCCTACACTGGTAAATTTCACTATCCACACGTTCGTCTTGCCTCTCGCATGAGGAAGACCACCCGTCTGTCTTCTCCAGTCCAGTCCCCGCCTAATTCCCCCGTCCGTTCTCGTTCATCACACACCCCTGCTACTTCGGACGCCCCAGAGGATGATATGGATACTGCCGAGGATGCTCATGAGTGGATGATGCCGAAGACTGGAACTTCTCCGAAGCCACAGCAGTTCACACAGCAGGCGGACTTCGTTGCCTTTGAGAACGACGACGAGTAGCCTTGCCCACTCACTGGATCCGTGATATCCGGACATAGTATGTGCCCCTCTGCTCAGCTTCCATTACAGTCCTTCCTAATTTGAGGTTTCCAAAGTTTCCAACCTGTGGTTTTCCGACCTGGTAGGTAATCTCTGGAACGCATTCAGCTTGTCTTGACTTTTGAAGGTCCAGAGCTATTCATGGCGTCCAGGGTTCTTTCGATGATACCCCCTCTTACGATTTCCTACCTCTCTTGTCTTTTCCTTGTTTCTAATCGAGCGAAATCTCTCGCTCCTGCTGCAAGCGTATCATATGACCCGATGCGACGTTGTACGCTTGGCGGATTTTGCACAGAGGCTCATGAAGTCGCTGCTGGCTTGCTGATGGATACAGTCGTCCCATGAAGGACATGTACGTGAAAGATCACAGAAGAAAAAAAAACATGTAAAAAAAAAATCAAGAACTTAAGATAAATCTCTTCCGTCTGCTATGTGATGCCATAGACTGCTACACGTAGTCAGTCGCCATCTTCAACAGGCACTAATTAATGCTTCGACGCGGGCATCAGTAGCGTCAGGTACCATGATTCCTAGTGTGAGACGGGCTATTAGGCTTGACACCCTCATAGAAAATATTCCCTCTTCATTGGAATATCTTGTATGTGTTCGTGATAATGGTCTCGCCACATACGTATGTCTCGTACCGCAGTATAGCTACAAAATTGTGATTGCTGCGGTTCGTGGCGCTGCGTCTGACATATGAGGCGCGCAGTGGAGGCTGAGACGGGCTGCGGCTACTGCTTGGCCCTCGTCCTACAGTCAATCGTGCCTTACAATTCGACAGCCCGCGCCGGCAGGACCATGAGCGCTTTCACCTTTGCGATGAATCTACGGAGATATAGGACCACCCTCAGAATTGAATAATACCCGCCGCACGACGCTCGCTTTCCGTTGCGTGAAGTTACCCTTGGATATTGTTAGGTCTCGAGCCGCGTACCCCTTGCCTACGCTGGCAACGCGAAACTCGACGCGACAGCTCCTTTGCGCACCACCATGGCGCTCAAAGACTTGCTGAAGAAGAAGGACAAGATTAGGGATGAGGGCGCGACTCCCACGTCACCCACGGGCCCTACGCTGTCTCCCGACGTCCCAGAGTTCCAGTTCTTCCGCACCACGACCTCGACGCAAGAGACCATCGAGCCGCCCAGCTTCCCCGGCGATCCCACGCGCGAGTCTCCTCTACTGTCGCCGACGTCGCGCGGCAAGTTTGGCCGATTCAGAAGTCGCAGTAGCGCTTCCTCTCAGGGATCGCAAGCAGCTGGTGGGGAGCAGAAGCATGACAAACTGGCGGAGCGGTTGCACTTTGGACGGAGCAGGTCGAGCAGCTCAATAAACGTGCCGGACAATCTGCCAGAAGTCGGAGGAGACGGCGTCGCACGAACAGAGGAGGAAGAGGCCAGGTGGGAGACGAGGGCTACGGTGCTGGTCACATACGGATCTAGTCAGCCCAATACACCAAGCCACGAGTCTGTGAATCCAATGTCACATGGACGACCGACGAGCGCAAGGAGCCGTAGTGGAACCGTCGGTGCGCCTGCGGACGAGGTATGCATAACTCTGGGAAAGGGCAAGAATTGGTCTAAGCTTTGCATAGGAGACGATCCAAGAGGCCATCCGTCTGCATGAGAGTAGTAGTGAGTAGTCACACGAGGTGGGTTCTCATGATGAAGCTGACAGGATGATCAGATCTTGAGGCCTCAACAGCGCTCTTTGGTAGACTTGCAGAACCAACGGGTGCGAACAATGCTCTAGCGCAGGTTCTCTACGGTCTCGCATTACGGTAGGTTCAGCCTCACTGATCGCAGCCTGATATCACCAGAGCATACCCGAATGTTGCCCTGGATGTTGCCCAAGGCAGTACTGACTAGAACATAGCCATGGCTGGGGATGTGAGCCTGACCAGGAACAAGCTGTCCAATACCTGTCCATGGCAGCGGCGAACAGCGCTGAGGTCGAGAAACTCGCCCTCGGAGCCGGCATGAAGAAAGGCGGTGCAGCCAAAGGGGAGCTCGTGCTGGCCATGTACGAACTCGCCAACTGCTTCCGCAATGGCTGGGGTATCAAGAAAGATCCCGCAGCCGCAAAGCAATACTATGAGACCGCCGCGAATCTAGGTGACACAGATGCGATGAACGAGGTAGCCTGGTGCTATACCGAGGGGTTTGGAACGAAGAAGGATAAGGTAAGCAAGCCGTGTCGTCTCTCCTCAGCCCAACTGTGGCCGTCCTGCAGTGCACGCCTGCGTCACCGGTCAATGTCGACTCGTTTAGAGGTTCATGCGATAGCGACGCGAACGGTCAGCCCGGAGGTCTTGTACAGCCTCGACCTCAGCCATCACGCGCAATATGCACTGAGACACGACTTCCCCTCGTTATTCCGCCTCATTGTTTGGGCAGCATTGATTGTATTCGGATTAAGCGGCAGGTATGCTAACTGCGCCTCGCCAGTTCAAAGCGGCTCAGTTTCTGCGCCTCGCGGAATCCAAAGGGAACAAGACGTTAGGCAACACATGGTAAGCCCCATAGATTCTTTCCTTCATCCCCTTCTGTATCGAGGACGAAGAGCGAGAATATGCCGGACCGAGGACCACCTTGACGCCGTGTGGATGGAGCACATGGTGGTCACCACGAGCAGCCATCACGACCTTCATCCGCGCGATCCCGTTCCAGCCGGTGTTGCATCCTCAATCAATCCTCAACACCAAGCCACCATAGCAACCAGACAGGATCCAACAATCCAACGCACAGCGCTACTGTCCGCATCGGCCGACCGGTTTCAACGCGCATCTGCCAAGCATAATCGATTGGCCCTCGATGCACCGTTTTGAACAGTCCTGCTCGCTTAGTCGATGCGGACGCTGGACGGCCCTCGCCCTCACCCGCAGCACGACCTGTCACACTTACTGCCAGTTCCCCGCTACGCACACATGATGGCATTCGCAAAGAAAAACTTGACCAGTAGCACATGTCCCGTTTGGCACAAGCCTCGCTCTCCCGTTCCAATAATGGATAGTGGCATGCCTCCAGACCCGTTGCGCTGGGTGCATAGTACACACAAGCTTGTCTACGGGGATACACGTGGCGCGTCGCTGGTGGCCTCGGTTCCGAAGCGGAAGAGTAAGCGGAACGATGGGGAGGTTTAGCCAATTATGACGGAACCACGAACGTTGTGGTGTGTGTGGAGCACAGTCAGATGGTGCATGTACGGATGGTCTGAGCAAAGCTGGAGATTGAGTTGCATTGATGGCGCGACAATGGTGGTGCTGAAAGAGAAGCGGAATATTGTATGACGGCTATCGCGACAATGACGGCAGCCTCGGGACGACGACCAACGACCCATCAACAACTTCATCACGATCTGGATCTGGGTCTTTAGCCCGCAGTAGTCTCGGCATCCCGTTGCCTTCTTGGTCTGCACCGATTGGATACCGAGGATGTTTTCACTGATTGGTGGGATGAACAACGTGCTGACTTATCTCTCTCTACAGGATCTGGAAGGACAAATACAACCCCAAATAAGGCGCGATCCGCAACCCGCTTACGGACAGGTCCTTCCGTCCCGGTCCGACTCTACTTCAACAAGCCTTATCCTGGAAGTCATGAGGGCACACACCCGGAAGTGGTCGTGTGAGGACAGTGACGGAAGCCTGGTCCCTTTCCCGCGCGGGGAAAGGGAAAAACAAGCTATTGTTTTTGTTTTTCCTTTGCTCGGAAACTCACACCGTATGTCTTGCATAACGTTATTTCCAATAATTCACACTGTTGTTGGCCTATCATCGTCGCTGTACTATCTTGAATTTTTCCTTTACCCCCCATGACTGTTGCTTAGTTCACACGCTATCGTTTGCTGAGGATGCACGTAGAGTAAGTGGCTTGCTGAAAGGCCGTCATCTGGATCTGGGAAGCGAAGGTCCGGAGGGCTGTACACGGACAATGTCTCTGGTACGCGATAGGCTATGTTTCCGCTTTCAGAACGTGGGGAGCATGTGGTGTGGCACAGCAACGGCGTATGTCGTAGTACAGCAGCCCGTTTCTTGTTAGTTTGTCAGATGAAGCTTGCTGGATGTTGCGTTTTAGGCGATGGTGTGTTTACCCGTATCGGATCGTGTGTGACGGTCAAGACATCGGTCTTTGGCCTTGCCCTTCTGATGTTCTCTTTCGATAGATCGTCCTCCAAAAGTGTCCATGTATCGTATATCGTGTTGACTACTGCAGGGAAACTGACCCTCTTTGCTCAGCCACTCACACCACGCACCTCAGGCTTCCCGCGACCCATCTGATCTCCTCACAGAGAAGCGGTCCGAATATGAATCATCCATCATCCATGATACCATTCTCTGCTGCATTAGCCTCTCCATTCATCGTGTTTCACCATAGCTGCACGCTTCTGCACAGTCAAGTCAGATCCTTTCGACATGTTACCAATCAAGGTACTTAACATAGGGTGGGGCGTAAGACAACATTCGTCATCCATCGGACGAGGGAAAAAAAGGTGGCTCAGCCCCACTGAGGGCCCGATAACTTGCATATTGCATGATATGCTGGACCCTGTGGTAAATCCGCAGTCCGCAGACGTTACTGTCCAGGTCTCAGCTTGCGAGCAGAGTGGGGGATGTGCAGTTTTTTTGGGGCTATTGTTCCGCGTGAAGGAAGGTAATCGGCTGGGTGGCTTGCGTTGGCGAAGCGTCATACCCACAGTAAAGAGAGTGAATTACTGGACATGGTGAACGGCTGTGCAGTCAAAGGGTACGTGCTTCGGGCCATGCATTATGCACCGCGCGTAGACTTGTGAAGCATGTCAGAAAACCCGCGGATGGCGCGTTTTCCCGGTTGCTATGGAAGGGAGATCCTTTCATGGACGCTTCGCGCGATGCGAGGCACGCGACGGACGGACGACCGCGTGGGTCCTCGACGGAAAAGCCGTAAGTGGAGAAGGGGTAATTCACACATGAAGCGATGGAG